CCAGTGACGTATGATGAGTTTTGTGACAGGTGAGGCACTGACTGTCTGGAATTGGATGCTCACATACAGTATATGAACCAAAAATAGAAGCTTATATTGCAACATGAATCATAACTTGATTGAAAATTATTAGAATATGTTTGACACTTTGTGCAGAGATGTTCTTCAACACAATGATTATTTCACATTTGTCTTATGGAGCTCCTGTCTAGTCACAGACTCACCAAACTACACTTAGACCATTGGAACGTCTCTACAATCAGGCCTTGAAGGTTTTATACCAAAAACCAATCAGATTTCATCACTGTAATATTTTAGTTAAGTTTGGTATTCTAGAATTTTCCAATTTTATAAATTACCAGTTTTTTATAATTGATCTTCAAATGCTTAAATGGACTTGCACCCAAACCATTAAGCAATTATACAAAAACAGCAGGGCTCCATCAGATCCACCAGAGCAGCAGTAAATGGCGACTGTAAGGTTCCTTTTCGTAGAACCACTTTTGTTCAAAGTTCTCTCTCTGTGAGAGGATCCACAGTTTGGAAATCACTCCCTGTCAATTTAAAGTCTGTAACCAGATTAAATATGTTTAAAAAACAAACTCTGGCTGTGTCAAAAACAGCACTGCATTCATGCTTAATGTTATTTATTGTTATGTTTTAATCAATTTGGTTTATGTGTATGACTCATCTAGGTTAGAAAAAATATTTAGTTTTGAGATATGATCTTCCATTTTGTCTAAACAAATTTTAATGAGTGTACCACTTGCTTCACCTGATGTCCCTCTGTGTCACAGAAGAACACACAGCAGCACCTGCTTCATTGTCCCTATGGGACAGCACTGCCCCCTATCGGTGCAGCAAGGTATATTCTGCCGCGCCTCTCGTGTTTTTCAGCATGCATTATGACCAATTAGAAAGCAGAAATATGTCACACACATTCATTAAATATATCAGACATACTGTAAAACATCAGCATGTGCAGCACATGTGTAATCAAACATATATATGGGCGATATAAAGAGAGACAGCATGCACCAACCACCTACATCATATATTGTATATGACACAGCGCCCCCAGAGGTGAACCACAGCACTACACCTCAACTCACATTGTTTGAACAGACAATGCATAAAGTCTGCAATTTTGACCACTGAAGTGTTGAAATAATTCAGAAAATAGTTTAATAAAACACTTTTATGGAACAGTCAAGTGGTCAAATGTATTTTCTCTTATCATTGTCAGTATATTAGTTGTCATGATGACAGGTGAGGCTCTGCCTCATTTGCCTCCCCTGACTGCACGTCTCTGATATACACAGTAACTTGTTTTACGGCAGTTAATTCAAAAATCTACCTTAATGTACTGGAGTTTGAGTTTCTCCTCCTCGATCTGTCTCCTCTTCTTGACGATGTCTTCTTGGATTCTTCTTTTGTCCTGTGGAGGGACAGCAGGGCTCCATGTAAACATGGTGTAGTGTGGAAACTATTCCACCTGTTGTCTGCCCCCCTGACCTTCAGCTGACAGGTGGACACCTAAAGTCATGAATGTCTCTGAGGCAGGGGTCTGCACCTGCAGCTCCGGGGCCACATGGCTCTTTGGTCCCTCTGCTGCAGGTCTTTAAATGTTTATAGCCACAACAAGAAAAGCTAACTTTAGCAGTTTTCTGTCCAAATTGAAGCAACCTGTAAATTAACTTTCACTTATATTAATGTTTTCACTCACACGGGCTGAAATAGTAGTTTAAATTTTATTAAATGGGGTAAAAGACAAACATTTCTTTTTTCATTCTTCTTAAGTTTGATCCTTTTCTTTATGCTAACATTTAAGTATGTACCAACAAATATCTGCTGTTTATTGTATAATTTATATATTTGATATATTTTGACTGTATCTTGTTACCTGCCATACTTGCATACACTGCAGAAATGTGAATTCTCCCTAATCTGACTAAATATCATTGGATTTTGTACGATTTGATCTTGGAATATTAACAACCAAAACAATGAATTGTTAAATCATATTGTCTGCTGTAGGTTGTGACTCGGAGACGGTCAGTGATGGCTAAAGTTAGCGCGTTGATCCAGCATCAGTGTGGCACTTAGTCCTGCTGAAAGAAGATCCCCTGCTGACGTCTGATGCTATTCAGAGCCATGTCTCCGACAGAGGCTGCTACGGGAGTTTTCACAAGTGTCTGCACCGTGTTCATCAATTCACATGGATGAAATCAAAAAGGAAATCACAGAAGAAGGACCTGAATGAAATCCACAAAGGAAAAGTGGCTGCAGACACAGTTCTGTTAATTAATGTTATACCAGTTCATAACTAACGGCATGGTCAAATGCAAATAATTATTTATGTGAAGAATCAGGCAGAATGGATTCTGCAAAACAAGCTCTTCTTATAATAAATCATTCATATTGTAATATGGTACTGTTTCAGTTTCATACAGGGATTACACAGCAGGGACTTTATTAATTTATTATTTAATTCAATAAGCTGACAGTGCTTGTAGTTTTTGAGATAAGTGTTTTTCTGGAATGGAACTGAAAAACGAATGCAAGTAAATCTTAATGTTTTTGGTGCAAGATATTCAAGAGGGGGAGTAACACTGTGTACAGCAGGGGTCTGCACTGCTGTGCAGGAAATTGATATTGCTTAAATTTATAGTTCCCTCAAATGATAGGGGGGCAAAGATTGATCTATGAGGGACAAGGCCACCGTTTGCCACCCGCTGGCTCCTCCATTGCACCTGGTGGTGGATTAAATCACTCCATCCACTCGTCAGGATTCGTCACTCTGCCTCGGACAAGGTGAACAGAAACACCAACTCTGACAGGCCCAGACCTTTTAAAACTTTAAAAGCAAGCAGTAAAATCTTTAAAACGATCTGGAAACAGACAGGAAGCCATGGAGAGAATGTGTTTAGAGATGGATATTAATGATAAACAGAGAAAAATGTTGGAATTAATAAAAACTATCAGCTGCCTTTTGGAAATAATCTTTGTTTCTATAGAACTATTCTCTTTAATACTGCGGACAAGGCTCCCACTAAAACAATGTGAGGTCCATCATCATTATTAAATGTAAAAAAAAGATGACATTTCCATTCAGGATTTTACTTTTGACCACAGACAGGAATGACTGGTGTTTACCGTGATGGCTTGGATCCTCTCTTTCAGAAGGTCTGCCTCCTCCATGATGGCCTACAAGGACAAAAACATGTAATAATGAATAAATAACATTAGGATAAAATAAAATATACAACAAGCTCATTATCATTTCAACAATAACACAAGTTAAAAACAGAATGAAGTTCTCATTTTGCTCCCTCACTCCTTACAATCAACAAACACCCTAAAAAAACTGCACACCAACAACAGCTGAAAAGTAAATGAATTTCCAAAGAGCAGCTGATGTTCCCTGTCACTGAGGGGTTTGAATAGTGGATGTTTGAAGTTTTGGAGACGACAGCTTTTCTGAACTGAAACTGAACAATTCTGTCAAGTGGAGGGAACAGTTTTATTGTGGGTGGGAGGGCTAGATACAAACCGGATTCCAAAAAAGTTGGGACACTAAACAAATTGTGAATAAAAACTGAATGCAATGATGTGGACATGGCAAATGTCAATATTTTATTCGTAATATAACATAGATGACAGATCAAAAGTTTAATCTGAGTAAATGTAACATTTTAAAGGAAAAATATGTTGATTTCAAAATTTCACAGTGTCAACAAATCCCAAAAAAGTTGGGACAAGTAGCAATAAGTGGCTGGAAAAAGGAAATTGAGCATATAACGAACAGCTGGAAGACAAATTAACACTAATTAAGTCAATTGACAACATGACTGGGTATAAAAAGAGCTTCTCAGAGTGTCAGTGTCTCTCAGAAGCCAAGATGGTAAGAGGATCACCAATTCCACCATTGTTGCACAGAAAGATAGTGCAGCAATACCAGAATGGTGTTACCCAGTGTAAAATAGCAAAGACTTTTAAGTTATCATCATCAACAGTGCATAACATCATCAAAAGATTCAGAGAATCTGGAACAATCGCTGTGCGTAAGGGTCAAGGCCATAAAACTCTACTGGATGCTCGTGATCTCCGGGCCCTTAAACGTCACTGCACCTCAAACAGGAATGCCACTGTCAAGGAAATAACAGAATGGGCTCAAGAATACTTCCAGAAAGCATTGTCAGTGAACACAATCCACCGTGCCATTCGCCGTTGCCAGCTGAAACTCTATAGTGCAAAGAGGAAGCCATTTCATCATCATTACCATCATCCCAGTCCCAAAAAGCTCTACAGTGACTGGTCTGAATGA